GCTATTATAGCTCGGCAGGTGCAACAGTTGAGGTCTAAGAGTTATCCTTCAGTTCGAGTGCAATGGAGAGGTCAGCCCATCGAGGCAGCTACTTGGAGTCCGAGCCGGACATGCGGAGTGGATATCCACACCTTTTTACCAATCTAGGTACTTTTCTATGTTCGTTCGAGGACGAACGGTTGTCTTAGAGGTGGAGAATGTGATGACCCGAGAGATCATCTAGAGTTTTAAACCCTCATTTTGTGTTTTGAAGCCTCCAATAGCTTCTTTAAGCGTTCCTTGATTTGCGTGCAAAGTACGGATATTTTTTCGGAAGGCTTTTATTTTAAAAATTAATAAAAATATAAAATTTTGCCTTAAAAATCGATTTGAGTTGACTTCGGTGAATATTTTGAGTAAACGGACCCGAATTCATATTTTCACGTCCATATCGTGATTTGGGACTTGGCCCTATGCCCGGAATCGAATTCGGATGTCCCTGGCTTGAGCTATCACTTTTTGTCGAAATTTGAAACTTAAAAGGCTTAGACTTTGAAGGTTTGGCCATTGTTTGACTTTATTGATACCGGATTCGTATTTTTATTTCGAAACTTGTTATAGGTCTGTTACTATATTTATGACTTGTCTGTCAAATTTGGTGAGAAACAGAGTTAGTTTGACGTGATCCGGACGTTCGGTTGTTAAAATATCATTTCTAAAGTCTTCTTGAAAATTTTATTTGGTTTGGTGTCCGATTCATAGTTCTAGGTGATATTTTGGCAATTTGATCATGCGAACAAGTTCTCATGATGTTTGTGGACTTGTATGCATGTTTGTTCTAGAGCCCCGAGGGCTCATGTGAGTTTCGGATAGGCTACAGAGTGGTTTGGACTTAGAAAACAATGCTGTTGTTCTTCAGTTTCTGGTGCAGGCATCAGACCTCACAATTGCGAGGTCTAGCCTCGCACTTGCGACATGGCAGCAGCCTTGTCAGGTTCGCATTTGCGACTAATTTCTTTGAAATTGCGAAGTGGCGCTGGGGGACAGTGTTCGCATTTGCGATCAAATGATTGCAGTTGCGAGGAGTTCATGTTCGCAATTGAGAACAAACCATTGCAATTGCGATGACAGCAGGAATGTGAGACCTTCGCAATTATGAAGGATTTCTCGCATTTGCGGGGTTCGCAATTGTGAACCCCAAGTCGCAATTGCGACATCTGCGCCTGAATTTAAGATGGGAAAAATGAGATTTTGGTTCATTCTCTCTGCGAACCCCAAGTCGCAATTGCGACATCTGTGGCTGAGCTTAAGATGGGAAAATGGGATTTTGGTTCATTCTCTTAAATTTCAAACCTAGAAACCCTAGAGGCGATTTTTCCAAGAACCTTTCTTCCCCAATTCATTGGTACATGATTCTAATCTATTTTCTTTCAATCTTCCATCATATTTCATAAGATTTCAACCTAAAATCTAGGATTTTCATGGTGGAAATTGGGGGTTTGGGAAGAAGTAGTTTTGTAAAAGTGGAATTTAGACCAAGCGGGCCCGGGAGTTGACTTTTTCAATAGTGACCTAAATTGAACCTTTTTTATTTATGGGTAGTTCCTAAGACTTATTTTGAATCGTTTGGTTAATAATTTGCTTTATTTGGTTGGTTCGGAGGCTTGTTTGAAAGGCAAAGCCATGGTTGAGCTTTGAGTTGATCTTTGGAGCGAGGTAAGTATCGTGGTTAACCTTGACTTGAGGGATTAGGATTTGTTTGTCTAATTGCTACATGCTTAAATGTTGGGTACAATATATATGTGAGGTGACAAGTACTTATGCATTATTGTTGGGTCAAAGCATGGGTGGTGCTTGTTTCTTGTAATTTATTTCTTCCTTTGATCATGATATCCATGCTTAGACTAGTTAATTACTAAATTGATTGTTCTTTCCGCATTTATGAGCCATCTGTGATAATTGAGGATTGATATTATGGAATCATTGTTGATGTAAGGTCTGTTCTTGCTTATTCTATCTCCCTTTTGTTATATGTTCATTGCTACATGGAAAAGCAGAGTGTTAATGCACGAAGGGTGATGTCGTGCCATAATTGAGAGTTAATGCATGAAGGGTGATGTCGTGTCATAATTGAGTGTTAATGCACGAAGGGTGATGTCGTGTTATATTTGAGAGTTAATGCACGAAGGGTGATGCCGTACTGTATCTATTGTTTCATGATGAAATTGAGAGTAAAAGCACGAACGGTGATGCCGTGCCGTATTTATCATGTCATGGTGAGGCTGAGAGTAAAAGCGCGAAGGGTGATGCCGTGTAGTTTTATTCATTATGTTTTGTTCATCTTGTTGGTTGAAGGTTTACTGACTGTTTCTTGTTATCATTCCCTGCTGTACGTGGTTACCGTGTCTTGTACCTCTTCCGCATGTCCCCTCCCAATAGTATTTGTTAATTCTTTATTTGTTGTTATGTTTCTCGTATATTTCTGTCTGTACATGTTTATTTACGTGGGTGTCCTGTCATAGCCTCGTCACTACCTCGTCGAGGTTAGGCTCGATACATACGGAGTACATTGGGTCGGTTGTACTCATACTACATCTGCACTTCTTGTGCAGATTTTGGTACTGGTCCCAGCTGTCCGTGAGGCATATCAGCTCGGATTGGCATTTGGAGACTCGGGGTAGATCTGCTGGCATCCGCAGACCTTGAAATCTCCTTCCTCCTTCCCTATTTACCGTTCTTTTCATTCAAGACAGTTGTATTTATTTCAAACCCTTTTTGTAGAGACTCTAGAAGCTCGTGAATTTGTAACTCCAGATCCGGGTTGTACTTAGATATTACTGGATTTTATGTCATTTCGTACTCTGCTTTAGTTTCATTTCGTTTAATTGGTCTTGCTCATTTGAATTGATTAAAATTGGCTTAAAGATTCTCTAACGTTGGCTTGCCTAGCAAGTGAAATGTTAGGTGTCATTACGATCCCGAAGTTGGGAATTTCGGGTCGTGACAACGTAGTTAATTTCTTTGTTAATTTTTAATAATTAATTATTAACTAAATAATTAATTATTAATAAGAAAGACAGATTTCCAGGAATACTTTGATTAAACAAAAAAACAATTAGTAGAACTAAAAAGAAAAACTTTTTTATCAATCATTTCCACGAATTCTACAAGCCCTACGTAATCAGTTACGCACGTATATCCCTGCATGTCACGAGAGATTCATCGTATGAGGGAAAGAGTGTCGGTAATAGTATATACAATATCACCTCGCCAGTAACCTACCCACTAAGAAATATATATATATATATATATATATATATATATATATATATATATATATATATATATATATATATATATATATTTGAGTGAATTTATTATAGAGAGTTAATGTTACAAAGATAGTACTCCTCATGTCCTAATTTATGTGATATTTTTCATTCTTCGTTATTCAAATTTCTTAATTTTGACTATGTATAGAATTTCTATATTTTTCAAAATAAAATATACATATTCAAAAACTACGTAAAAATACTATAATAAGTCATGTAATAAATAATTTAAAATATTTAAAAGACTTACAAAAAAATTTACGATCAAAGATAATTTGTCTCTCAAAATCCGTATGCCTTCACATAAATTGAGGCTCATGAAGTATATAATAATTATAGTTGCTGTTATATATAAAAGATAGGATGTTGTTACAGAAAATCTGAGTGTGTAGCTCCAGTTCACATACTAAATCTTAAAGAAAAGAAAAAAATTAATCCAAATAGCTGGCCGGTTAATTACGTAAAGATTCCATCTAAAATATAGGCTTGGAATTTTCCGATTAAGTATTATGTAATCTTTATTGCTAACGTGGGAGGCGGTGGCTATATACGTAGTGATGTATCTAGAAGATAGAGATGGTTGATGAATTTGAGAATATTATGGACTTTAACAAAATTCTGACAAAGAAAAAAGTCAAAAAACTTTGCTGCACATTTGGATGTCCAAAGTCCAAACAAATACTACATCCGTTTTTCTCGACATATGTTCATTTTCCATACGCATAATGTTTGACAAAGGTAGTACAGCAGAAAAAATAGGACTGTGAACCTCTTTCGGGAAAAAGGAAAAGAATGTTTTCAAAGTTTGAAACGGGAAATTTATGGGTTTGAAATATGCCACAGTTCAGCTAATCAAATAGTTGTAGGCAACTGATAAAAATGTTGCTTGTTCTATGGCCAAAAATAGTCTATACGTCATGAACAACAGTTAGACATCTCTATAATAATCATTCTTTATAACAATATTTTACTATATAGCAGCCAAATTTTACTTTGAAATCAATTTTTCAATTATATCATAATATATATTCTCTATAATAACACTTCATTATAGTAGCAAGAAAATATCGACAAGACTGTTATAGTGAGGCGTGGTTTTACTCTTTTAATTTGAGAAAGTAATAAATATCACTTGACATGTCGTCTTCTTCTTCTTTTTTAATATAAAATTGGCCGATTCGCTGAAAC